TAAGCAGCTTTACAGTAAGTTTTTTGTACTGTTGAAAGTGAGCGTCATTCAATGATCTCTTTGCTTTCTGGAAAAGAGTGTTGCACTTACGAAGGAGCTGGATGATGTTTTTTGTAAGCCAGGGAAGGTTACGCCTCTTTCGTAGATAACGTCATGGAATGCACGTGCACTCTCCCATGATAGCTAGACATCTCTCAGAAAAATTAGCAGCTGCTTTACTGACACTAACACCAGTTAAAATACTATTCCAGTCCGTTTCTGCAATCATTCTGCAAGCTTTCTCACAGTTACCCTGACGGTAAAGCCAAACCCTTCTTGTTTTCCACAGTGGCTTGGCTTTTAATTTCCATTTTAGAATCAGTGAAATCCCATAATGATCAGAGGTTGATAGTGGTGGAATGGTAGTAGCTACATTCTTGTAGCTGTTCGGGATTTGTCAACATTAATAGGTCAAGCAGTGATGGGGGGTTTCCTGATGGACTGATATGTGTATGAGATGATACAACTTGAGTCAGAGAAAAACTGAGCAGAATGTCTTGAATATGAGAGAATATTTGAACGCGTATTAGTATAGGTAATAGTACAGTTTGGTGTGGTATTAGGGATTAATAGGAATGGAATTTTTCAAAATAGTATGAGGCGAAGCCATCACTATTAATCCCCTAATACCACACCAAACTGCACTATCATATGTTAATAGTATAGTGCTGTGTATAGTGATCAGTGTGTTATATAGATTAGCTATAGTCATGCTCACAACATCTTTCGCGACACTTGTTTCTGGAGCTGTAACTTGTATGAAGTATTTCACATTGATTTCCTAGTCACTTGATTTGATTGGTCGATTTTCTGGGGTATTTAAATTTTCGGGGGGTATTTCAATTTTCATTACGGTGAAATAGTAAAATTCTCTATGGATCAAATGTATTGGCTGTTACATAGTATACTATTACATATATTATTATATATGCACGCGCGGGACCGCTAGCTAACGCGTATTACATATATTTATGCATGGCGAGGCCTCCTTGGCCCCTCGCGGCGCCAGCGGGTGCAGGTCTTCTTCTCCCTTTCTTCACTCTTGCACGAGTACATGACCTAACGAAGCACCTCCCCTTTCAACGAACGTGCCACGCCCCATTTTCACTCGAGGAAATGCGCGGTAAGAACGACACTACTGCGCAGCTGCCAGCTACGCCCCCACAAAACTGCTGCATGCGCAAACTAGAGCGTCACTTGAGCATAGAGAGAAGAAATGGCTTCAGGCTCTGCTGGAAGGCTTTTTAGCCTTGATGAGGTTGTAGCAGAGTGGACAGTATGGCAATCCCAGGTCCAGTTATTGATGATGAAGACTGGAGTGATGACGATTTTGACGGATACGTTGGTGAGCCAGACGGTCAAGTGGTAGTAGGGGGAGGAGGTAGAGGGGAGAGAGAGGAGTGATGATGAACAGCAACAAGGGGAAGCAGAGAACAGTGAAAGACTGGAGCTTGGAGGTGAATGTGAAGTAGATGATGCTAACGACCTGCCTGCGTACTCTTTCACTCCTGGGTGCAATTACTCCTGTGACAACGCGACTCAGCTTGACTTCTTCAGAATGCTTCTGACAGATGACATTCTCGACAACATTGTCACCCAGACCAACTTGTATGCAGCGCAGTACATCTCCACCCACAACCTCCCTCCTCGGTCGAGAGTCCACGGTTGGTTACGAGAGCCATTCACCAGAGAGGAGCTGCAGAAGTTCATCGCCCTCATCATCATAATGGGCCTGGTCAATTTGCCAACAATTGAAGACCACTGGGTGACAACATGGCCTTACTCCAGTGAAGCATGCAGCAAAGTATGTATAATAATAAGTAATACATAAAATTGCCTACATCCATACTCCACATACTATAAAAAACACATATTGTACACAACATACATGATTATACTACCATACAGAGGACTACATAGTTTCACTAATTCCACCAAAACAGGTCCTGAGTCGAGACCGTTTCTCCCTCATCATGAAATTTCTTCACCTGAGTGACAACAGCCAGTATATTCCTAGAGGGCAACCAGGTCATGACCCCTTATACAAGATCCGACCACTACTATCACCCCTACTCGCCAACTTCAAGGCTGCCTACACTCTACATAGAGAGCTGTCCATAGACGAGGCGATGGTGGGCTTCAAGGGAAGGCTGTGTTTTATCCAGTACCTTCCTAAGAAGCCCACCAAGTGGGGCATCAAAGCCTACGTCTTAGCAGACAGTGCAACTGGCTACGTCTACAGCTGGAGGCTGTACACAGGTAACCTACTACTACTCATTATGTATATTATATAATATATATCATGTTGTGTATTGTAACATACAGGGAAAGGATGAGTCACTCGCTTGGGGGAAATGGCTAACCCACGCGATGTAGTGCTCGAACTCCTGAAGGGTTTGTGAGGGTAGAGGTCATCACGTGTTCACGGACAACAACTACTACTCCAGCCGCCCCTCTTCCGTGACTTACGTGATCTGGGATTTGGAGCGTGTGGGACTGTCAGTGTCAACCGCCGTGGACTCCCCGCAGCAATGAAAGCCACACTGGCCAAGGGCGACACTACATCAGCCTGATTGATGAGACCATGATGTGCACTCAATGGATGGACAAAAGGCCAGTGTGCATGCTCTCACATCACGATGATGCCATGATCGCCCAAGGTCGTCGCACCGGCGAGTAGAGGGAGGCACAGGAACGAAACAAGGAGCCTGTACGTTGTGGAGGAGGACAACAGGTTCATGGGAGGCGGTAGATAAATCGGACCACCTTCGTCCTACTACGGTTTCCACATCGCTACGTTCAATGTGGAGAAGGGCAGCATTTCATTTATTCGACATGGCTGTGTAAATGCCACGTACAGCTTGTACAGTACATCTACGCAGTCCTCTAGAAAACTCACCACGAGCATTCAGCATTGAGTTGTCCAAGGAAATGCTGCTCCAGGTGTCGGTGGACATAAGCGAAGATGCGCCTTTGAGCCACGGCCCGACTACAACGTCCACTCCCACCCCAGTCCAAGGCTTATTGAGGCCACTTCCCCGCCAACCTTCCTGCACACCCTGGGAAGAAAAGACAGACGGACTGCACGGTGTGTAGTAAAAAGAAAGGGCGTGGCAGGAAGACCACTACATACATGTGTAAACAATGCAACCTCCCATGTGTATCACTCTTGTTTTGAGCTCACCACACGAAGTAAACCCACAGAGGTACCTCTGAATGTAAACATGCTCCACGTGTGTTTATATCCGTCTACATGTCATCCGCTACCCGCTCATATTGCTTCACGGTCATCACTACTTTATCACTTCACTGCACTATCATCATCAATCAGACTCCCTCTCTGAGAAATACATCTTTCAACTACGCGAAACAATAAATTCCAAGACACTTACCTCATGGCGCAAAACGCGGACGATCGCGGATCGGCGAAAATGGGCGTTTCTGTCGAAAAAAAGCAACTTGAGGAGACATCCCAGACAAGCGTACGTCTCTCTGGCGGACTTTAGAAAGGGGGCAGCGATGCGGCAAGGCAGCACACGCGGTGAAACACGTGAGTTCACGCGACAGGTCACAATGATTGCGGCGTGACCGTGACAGTCACCGCACACGCACGGATAGCGCGCGGAACCTGCGCATGCGCACATAAGGGTTAAAGCGTTAGATAGTAGATGAAAGACAGCAACATCAATATGCCGCAGTGACCATGGCGCTGAAATAATGCCGCTAATGCCAGCCCGCCAACCGGGTCAAATTTCACAATTGTGCGAGTTTTGTTGACGTTTCAAGAAGTATGCAACCTTTTGTGACCGAAAGGGATTGCTCTGAGCATTTGTGAGGTACATTAAAGCAACACATATAGGCCTACACATATAAGTATTGCCTAGGGGTTTAAAACAGCATTTACCAACAAAAAAGGATCAACTGTAATAATTATACGAACCAGCGAACTGCTTCGTAAGTCACACTGACGACGCTGATCGGTCTTGCACGGTGACCATCGCACCTACAGCTGGAGTACTGCTAGTCTCTGGTCTCGACCATCCCGAATACCCACACCGGTCATCGTTGACACTGCGTACTACCTGCATCTTTTGTCACCCTCCCTGATTTTAGCACCTAGCACTAGTGATATAGGCTTGGGCCCGGACCTCTAGGATGCTTACCGCCCGGCATGGATACTCCCAACAATGTATCTGGCAAGCTACGCATAGCATCCAACACGTCCGTTTCCACCAGAATGATTGCAACATCCAAGACATCTACTTCCATCCCCTATACGTCTGCAAACGAAAAACCTCGAGAGTGTCAACATTGGTTCATTATTCAAAACGCATAATACCACCAGACAACACCTTTGTCATACAAATATATATATATAAATTGCCCGTGAATGAAAGATCAGGTGATGTCTACTGCATTCCATGCAGAGACTGCAACTTCTCGTATAATATTATTATTGGTGGGGCTGGTCTCCACCTATCTACCCAACACCGTGTGAAGCCCCTAAGAATGTGAATTCTGCCATAGCTAAGAATGTTTGGGGTAAACACAATCAAGTAAATTCGGAGGGTGTCTCTGTCTTAGACTGTGAGCCTTACACCAGGTCGAGGAAAGTTTGAGAAGCCATACACAGCAGACATGGATTCTCATTAACCCTCGTCGCGTATGCGCAGCGAGGGTTACTTACAGTATATATTTGATTTTGTAAGTCTGTCTGTTACCACGTTTTCTGTCACCACGCACAAGAAAAATGGGCCAAAGAGCGATAGTAACGTGTTCAGTGCTATATACACTTGGTTGATTAAAGAAAGGCAATTTTCATAAAAACACTGCGTGAAAACCAAGTTAACAGGGCAATATACTGATTAGCAGAGGCCCTACAGCCCTGCTTTTACTGCAGTAGTGAACACAGTGCAAGGAGTATATAAGCCGCTTCATTGCGTGAATCTGTCACTGACACTCGTATATATACCAGTGGCATCTGTGAAGGGGTGAAATGTAAGTACCCTAGCAATGTCTACTGCCTCTACAGAGTTATACATACTGATGATGTTCGGGGCATGCAACTGTTTGTTACACAGGCATCACCCGTGTGTCTCCACAGACTGTTACGAAGATGGCTTCCTCCAGACACTAGACAAATCAGCATGATAGGAAAGGTTGCAAGGTAATTAAGAACAGTGAGAAATAACACACATCACACACGTTTTTGTCTATTTGGAGGGAGTTGCAAAACAAAAAACCGTGAGCAACTTCCTCCCAAGTGACGCCACAAGGAGGTTGAAGGCCCATCATGGGACAGTCTCAATTCATACATGTACACAGAGATGACTGCCCCACAATGTCGTCACTCACAAGTTGATTCACACGGCACAAATATTTTGCCTATATAATATATAAGAAGTTATCCATGCCCATGTTACTGTAAAGCAGAGATAATAAATTTGAAAAAGTTTCTGATGCCTCACGAGATCCATCCTCAGGGTTACATGCAAAAACTGAACTAAGCAAAACTGGAAAAACATACACAATTAAAGTGCAAACCCCCTGCGAACTGCGCATCGCCGCATACGCATCACTACTAACGGATGGACTGGGCTTTTATGATGCATTTACTTGTGGTCTTCCACTATAGCTATATAGCTCCTAAGAGTCTGTCATGGACTAGGTAGCTACAGTAGTAAATAGCATGTGAAGTCGCTGTAAGCCCTTCGTTGTGACTTCTTGTGCCTCGAGATACGCAAGTCGAAAGTCGAAACTGACACGGAGGCAGTGGATTGTCCTATTCTACTGTTGGGTACGTCAGTACTCAGTGACAGACACAGTGCAAGAGAATAGTGCAGTGCAGGTGCACCAGTACCTGAGAGACATCTGCAGCTGGCGTCTCCTCAACACAGATGCACCTCTCATGCTTGGAGACCAAGGAGTCATTGCACAGATCGACGAATCCCTCTTCAGACACAAGCCCAAAGTACGTAGCGTCGTAACATTCGGTGCAGCACCATCGTGGGCAAGTCACTACTCATGGGTCATAGTGGAGTCTGTAGGCCAGTGCTATTCACACTTTACTTGACTTACCACCCGGATGGATCATGATTGGAGCCGGACCTCGTCTAGGGCTAGGACTAGCGCATCGATTGGTTGAGTCTGTAGATGCCGTAGCCCTAGGCTTAGACGAGGTCCGGCTCCATCACGATCCATCCGGGCGGCATGCATCCTAGACGAGGTCCGGCTCCATCATGATCCATCCGGGTCGTAGGCATCCTAGAGGTCCGGGCCCTAGCCTTTAGCACTAGTCCTAGGTGCTATATAATCAGGGAGGTGACAAAAGAATGCAGGTAGTACGCAGTCTCAACTATGACCGGTGTGGGTATTCGGGATGGTCGAGACTAGCAGTATTCAAACTCTAGGTGCGATGGTCACCGTATAAGACAGATCAGCGTCGTCAGTGTGACTTATGGAAGCCGTTGCGCTGGTTCGTATTTTACAGTCGATCCTTTTTTGTTGGTAAAATGTTGTTTAAGTACTTCGTTATAATGTGGGGGATGTAAGAAAGGGACTTCAGCTGAACATGGACTTCTGCTATAGATTGCAGGTGTACAAGAATGCCATTAACACTGGCAAAGGGGATTAGGAATGAAGTAGAGTCTACAAAGAGCCCACAGTGTGGTAATAGTAAACCAATACTGTTAACATTTTCTGTCAGTACACGAAGCACGGCCTCATATAAACCGTTCCCCTTGACACAAGGAAGGGGCTGAGGCTGACCGTATGCCCAAACATTCTGTTATCCTGCCCACTGTTCTTGTAAGATTGCAAGTGCCAGTAGCTAGCAGTAAGAGGCTGTTTATAATTTGGGAAAGCCACACCCTCTCTCTCCAAAATGGTACAAGGGCCAGAGGAAGCAAGCATACCATTTTTTAGGTAGGAGAACTTTTAAACATCGATGAGAATGTTTTTGTAAATGTCAGAACACAAAGCTAAAAATCTCTTACAAATTTGAGGTCAACAGAAATATTTCGTAGTTTACTAATTCCTTACATTTCCTCTTCAAGGAAAAAATATTTTGTGAAAACTGACAGCTGCATAACTTAGCTGTACTAGCTACCCGCCTATGCATGTGAATGAACTTGCTTGCCTATTTGCTCACACAGATATCACTAAGTCTTAGTATAGTAGATAGGCATGGTACCTAGCATCATAGATATATGGGGATATGATAGGGAGTTTTGTTCATCATCATGATCTTCTTCTCCAGAATAGACACCCATAACTCATAGATCAAGCCATGAAATTTTGTAGAAAAGTAGATACTGTAAAAACGGAAATATTCGCGTTCCATTAAATTTAGCAAATTTGGCGTTGGTCCGCCAAAATTGTTTCTATAAAGGGTCAAAGTTAACCACAACTTACAAAACGCTAATATTAATGGCCACCAATATGTGGAGTCCGAGTAAAATGCTAAATATAATGGCCGCCAGGCTTTACAGTATAGTAACCGAATGTGCAACTGCATACGTATCTTGTGTGCAAACAATCCTTACAAACCTCACTTTCAGTTCAAAAGAATCCTACAGTGTACTGTCAAAAAAATGAAAAGCACTGAAGTGCAAACCCTCGGCGCACTGTGACGCGCACACGTAAGTAAACGCATGCGCCGTACCACTAATTGATGGGCTGGGTTTAGTTTTAGCTGTTACTCGTGGTCTCTTGCCAGCTCGCGCAGAGTCTGATGCGGGCTAACTACACTACTAGATAGCATGCAAGAGGCGATACACGCCCTGCGTTGCATCTTCTGGTGCCTCCGAAGTACGCAGAGCACGCGGATCGATCCGACTGTGGTAAGCCATCCCCGTCCGTTGTTTATTTGCATATTGGCTTTTTCGCGCTCTAGCTTTGCAACGGAGCAGTTTTAGAGAAAACCGTTCGAAATTTCTGACCTTCATTGCCCGTTCAGTAGGTGGTATCCTTTGTGAGACGAAAGAACACTCGAGAAGTCAGATGAAGAGTAACAGACAGACTGACAGACACACAGACAGACAGACAGACCCAAGTACTGTAACCCTCGCTGCGCATGCGCGCCGAGGGTTAACTAGGCTCAGCAGGTCACTGAAACATTATCTGACCACAGAATACCTCAATTTAGAAAATATGTGATGTTTATGTCACTAAAGTTGTGCATACCCACCATTGGAAAACAAAGAGCTTTGTATAGGTAAGACGGCAAACTCGAGTGTCTTCGTGGTTCTAAAGCCCGCGTGGGAGGCTGGAATGACGCAATATTAACCATGGCGGAGGTATTGCGTCATTCAGCCAACCACAGGGCGGTAGAACCTCGAAGGCACGAGAATTTGCCGTCTTAGTTGTTAAGAAAATGATGGATAGACGTATACATGGCTGTAGCTTGTCCGCGTTCAACCTTGGTTGGTATATAGCAGCTCTTTGAGGAAAGCACCGCAGCGGAGAGTCCGAGTTCTACCAAGCCGATTCCATGATTGCGTCGACGCTGGTGACTATTAGCGGCGGCGTCTCAACTTTTGGACGATAGCCTGGCAGGGGAGACGCCTCCCGACCACACTGGGCACTGTATTCGTCGACGATGACAGAGAATTACTACTATTAGCAGCATCGTAAGTGGCGAGGTCTGAGCAGTCTCCACTCATGATCGTCGCTTCTGGACGCCCCGGTCTGTGCGTACTGTAAACGGAAGGTTCTTGGTTAGAAGTCAGCCACCTAACCACAAGTATCTTATCACTAAGGACCGTGTAGGTGTCCTACCCCAAAATCAACCTCATTAGCTATTCATTAGTATTCTTGACATTCCATCTTCTTATGGTTGCTTCGTGGCTGTCTTATCTAAGGACACTAAGTATACTCTCTTGTATGAAAAGAGTTCATGCAAACAACAACACTCTCAGGCAACAAAACTTTTTTGTTTTGCCATGCCATTAATTTCGCCAAGTTAATGGTATGTGACTTTAAATTTCAAGCATGCATGGTATGCAAAGTATGTAGAGTATCACTTTTCCTTGTCTGCAGTATCTCATACCCTGTGTTACACATTTATTGCATAATAGTTTCTATGTTCTTGGAATTGTATGTGTTTGCCGGTAGCTTTGCTTTTGTTGGTATAGTTATTATTATTCACCACTTTTCAGTTGTTTTTACAGCCTTCAGGAGGAAAGATGACGCAGCTGAAGGGGGAGTGTCTGTACTTCATAAGAGTGTGCATAAGCTAGGTTGTTGACCACCCTCAAGTGCACTCAGCGTAATTCTCTAGTGGCACTCTGTGTGCCCAACAGTTTTGCAGTTAGGGTCATTATTACCTCATTATAAGTAGCAGGTTTTGTTTATGTTGACAAAAGGGGCAATGTAAAGTCCAAAAAAACGTTGTTAGTCAGATCCTGCCAATTCCATTGCCAGAAACAGCTTATGCGTGTACTGTATAAGTTTCATCATTTTATCAAGCTCAGCAACGTTGTTCCACAGGCCAACTGCAAAGCTAAAATTTGTTGCTTCCATACAGAAAGTAGCTATATTCCTATTTGTTGCTCCGCGTCATTGGTAGCTTTAAGTGCAGAAGCATGTCCTTTCCTTGGCTAATTTGAGGGACGACAAATGAAGTCGCGGCTTCTGTAGCTAGCTAGGTATACCTGGGAGTTGGTGAGGGTGTAGTGAAGACTGTATCCAGGGAGGATGGAGGGTCCACTGTTGATGTAGTCCAGTGCTATCTGTACTCCCGGCAGTGCTCCGTGGAGGATAGATCTGGTGGTAGGGCCACTCAGTGGACGACGATAATGAAATAGCTAAGGCCCAAAAAAAGAGACAGCCAACGTTCCAATACATTCTTCCAAAAAACCTCAGCTGGTTGCAGACGCGTCAATGAAAATGGGTTCAGGCTTGCATACTTTATACTCTGCAACAACCTGCACGCCCACTAGTGTGACAAGACGCGGGATTGCGCATGTAAAATCTCACGTGATCCGCGTGCAAAGACGCATCAAAACTCGGCGGGAACAACTCACTATGCCTTCAAAAATCACTAGTACATAGGTCAATATCTATGCCCAAGGACTTTATTCGCACACTCCCACCACAAACATACACTTTGCTGCTGTACTCTGCAATGTAAGTGATCAGCAGACCTACCTGAACACAGTAGCTAAGTATAACCTAAGCCTACTGTATATGTTCAGTGTCATTATTGTACAAGGAAGTTCTTCAGCTCGTCATAGCAGTTAACCATTAGCCAGCCACGGGTATATACATGTGCCAGGAGTCCATAAGAATTTATATAATTATGGCTATAATACTAGGCGTTAATTTGTTATACATCAATTTCTGCTTATTTAAGGAGATACCCATGGCATCCAAAGAGTAACTAGAAGAAAGTTGCAAGATATTTCTGTCCATAACCTTCATAATATGCTGTGACTGAAAGAAATGCACGTAAAAAGAATGGATAATTACATTTGTGGCTAGGTAGCTAAGTAGTGAAGGTATATAGCTAAAATCACATTATGATGACGTGGTGTAAGGTTGTATATAAATTGGCATCCAGTACCAGGGCAAGCAACAGATTGGTATTATAGTTTCACTGATCTCAAGAGCTTCTAATGTTGTCTTCTTTTAGTCTCCTTTGGCAAATCTACTCTGTGTCCAGGGGGTAATGATGAAATTCATTCCCAGATGTCGACATCACTAATGCATGGAAATTCATTCGCATGTGTATCGTTGACCGGCAGGTACTACCTGAAGATACAACCACTGGTGAAACGAATTCGTCTCAACGGCTATATCTGGCACAAAGAACCATGCAGAAATAATGCCGGAACCTTGCGAACTGAAGATGGTTCTCATCCTTTCATGGTTAGCGGACAATGAGACGCTGTAATATTATGCGGTTAACCTGCAGGAATGGGGAAGTTTTGTTACACTTATCCTAGGATAGCCAAAGGTCTTCCCCGCGGCCAATTGTGGTGTATGCTGCAACTACTTTGCGTCATCACTCTGGCGCATTAATCACGACAGGGGTTCTAGACTACCTCATTGCGCATGCCCAAAATACAAAGCATTTCGTTCTTTAGCGTTCAGCAACTTGTCCAAACTCACAGATATCGAATCAGATATTAAAGAAAGACAGTTGAGAGAGAAATCCGAAATTCAACACGTGTGTGCGAGTTTTTCTGAGAGTAGCTAGCTGCTTACATGTTTCTTGAGTGTTTTTCTTTTACAACGTTAGCTACTCGACAGAATTATTCAATGACTTTTTAACACCGCCATAACAATTGTGATGTAGAAAATGCTTTTTTGAGAGTGACAGTTGTTAGTGCTGAAATATGTTATTGACATTCCTGTTTTTTTCTATTGCTGCTAGCTAGAGTATGACACAGCTTCTTCAGCTCCCTCCACAACACTAGGAAGACGGTTGAGAGAGAAAGTCTCAGATTCCTATAGTAACAGAATGCATTAGTGCAAGTTTCTCTCTATAATAAACAGAGTAGCTAGCTGCTTACATGTTTTTTGAGGGTTATTTCAAGTTCAGTGACCCTGCGACGAAGTGTCTTCAGCTCTCTATCATTGCTACTTCCAAAGTTCTGAGACCTGTCTTCCCTTGTTCTAACTGTATTGATTGTATCTCCTTTGGGGTCTTTGTAGAGCCCTACCATCTACATTGCAAGAGATAGAGACAACTTTCTCAGAAATTAGCAAACTAAGGAATGGTCTTTAACATAGGGCTGGGTTTGCCAATCACATCCTTCTATTTTGTCACATGCATGGCGCTTAATATTGTTTGAGAAGTGCGCATTAAGTTGTTAATGCATTGAAAAAAAGGTCATTAAGTATAATATTAATGAAGAAAAACTGAGCTGGTGCAAGCCTTGATAAGTGTGTCATCGTTGTTTCTCATTGAGTAGTGAGGGGAGAGGAATGACAGTTAACGTCAGGGTGACCGTTTCTATAATCCCCAATTGGCCGAGGTCGCATTCAGCACTATAATATTGCATTATGCAGTTATATTAATTAGATGGAGTGATAATGATCTCGATTACGTAATGCACCAATGTTCCATCCTCGCGCACTAAGACAAAACTGAGTAATGCACTGCATATTAGCGAAGAGTTTGTAACAACTGTACCCTTGGTATGAAGACAAGTCCGAGGATCATGGTGGTTCCCAGCAGTAACCCCATTCCCACCACAGCTGGGTAGGCATTCACATAGTCCCTCAGAGTGTAGGTGGAGACAATGATGACAGTCAACACAATACTTGTGACGTACACAGAGGCAGCAATGTACACAGAGTCATCCAGACCCTTCACCTTCACATTGCGAGTACGGAAAGCCAGGAGCAGAGCCAGGACTTTGCAGAATGCCCTTTGTATCCAAACAGAATTGCGTAGAGGACAACTTGCCCCATCAGATTCACAGACATAGAGAAAGTACTTGTGATATTCTGCGGTTGCCTGAAGTATAAGAGAATCATAAATATTGGCTGTAATTTTAAAAACATACATCAAAAAAATTACACCAATGGTCTCTTCAGGTAGCTCTTGGTTAGTGGTGAGTTTTACTCCAAGGTTGCCTCTCACTCCCTCAGTCACAGTGAACAGTAGCAAAATAAAAACGTCTATGATGGTCAGACATAGAATGAACAGTCCCAGCAGGTTGTCTCGGAGCAGTGGGTGCAGAGGAATATTGAAGAGGATGCAATTCCACCTGAGCTGCAGCCGGGCAAAAATTTACGTCATTACTGTAATGTAAATGTATATTGCAGAAAGACTTATTGACTGATTATCAACATTCTCCGGTAAAGACTGAATCCAGCGGTACGTCTCTCCTCCGTAGAAAGAGCATGCCTGATTCAAGAGTGTCAGGGACCAGTGGCATAAAAAGAGCTGATAAATCACACCTGCTGACAGCCACTATGGCAAATGGCTCTTATTACACAAGTTGGTGTAAGTGGATCTAAAGGCTATCTCAGACCTTAAAAAGTGTGAAGTACCTAGGACCTATCTGATGAAAGGTGTGGTGACAGTATATACTTTCTGCAACAGGGCATTGTAGTGGGTTTGACTTGAAAGAGTCTAAAGATATGCAAGGGCAAACGATAAAGCTAAGCATTAGAATGGAGAAAGCTCTAAAGGGGACTGAAAGAGGAAAACACTGGAAGCTCTTGAGATTAGCAGGTATATGGTGGAACTACAAATCTGGATTGGTTTCTCTGTTACTGGACTCACTTGATGCAAATTTACCATCGTCATATGACGTCATCATTAGCTACCTTCACTACTTACCTAGCTAACATATCCATTCTGATTACGTGCATTTTTCAGTTACAGCAGAGGAAGGTCTATGGATCGAAATAGCTTCAATCTTACCTGCTATGGCAAGCTAAAGACCTTCCTTATGTGCACAAAGTAACAATGAACATCTACAGTATACGTAGATATCAGATATACTTACTGCTTTTAGTTCCAGTATGTTATTGAAAATGACCCAGACCCTGATCATTTTGATAATCATAGTCCCGTAACACAAAGAGTAGCCCACTGATACCAACCAAGGATTGGTCTGAGCAAATAAAAAGAATAACAATGTTCAAGTAGGTCTGCTGATCACTTACATTGCACAGTATAGCAGCAAAGTCTGCGTTTGTGGTGGGAATGACGAGAGTGATGACATTGACGTAGAGAACTATAGCTCCCAGTCCAATCAGGTAGTTGAGGTTAGAACTGGAGAGTCGAACCAATCTGTAGACCCAATAAGTGAAACATGGCATAGGTAGAAAAAATGCTTGGTCATATTTTTGAGGTCCACTATACAATATCAAGATGTAAGTCAGCTTGATGACTGATTTTGGAATCACATTTTACACTGCACCCTTCGCTAATGGTAAAAAAAATCCCTGTGTCTTTAGACAATTATTACACCTTCTCTGGCGAAAAATGATGTTAAAGAGTAGACATCCCACAGCAAACACTAGTCCAGTGGTGGCCAGAATGACATACACCACTGTCAGAGCCACTGAGACTGTCACCACATCCTCAATTGGTATCCCGTCATTAGGTATACCCGCTGTAGGAAAAGGTAAAATGGAGGAGAAGAAAGTACTGGCTACACACCTACCTGGAAAAGATAATGCACTTGGAAAGGGATGAAATGTAGAATTTCCAGTTAGAAGCACTTCGCCCACTTCTGAGCGGACCATGTCTGCCTTCGAACCTATAATAGAGAGAATTGTTATTAAAATAATGATAATTAGTTTATGTAACTTACCTTCTTGATTTCTCTGATACTGGTATATCCGGAGTTTATTGATGATTCTGGTACCCTGCTCATTGAATTTTACATCATTACCCTTTATAAAAGATCATAGCTAACATAATTGCAATTTAAATACAGTTTACATAGGCATAGGTAAACATAGTTAACACATGCACAAAGAAGGGTGGGGCTCAGGTGCTGCAGCCTGAAAAGGGGTAAGCTCTACTGAAAAGACCAGTCTGCGCACACACGGGAGCACACTAGGCAAACTTCAAGCTAACTTCTACTAGCTAACTTCAAGCTACAATGGCTTCGAGGCGTCCACCCGCTCTCTGGCGGATAGGAAAGCTCCCGATTGCAGAGATCAAGGAACGGTTGCAGGCAGCTTCTCTATCGACCACGGGCACGAAACAGACGCTTGCGAAACGCCTCCACGTCCACCTGCAGTCGCTGGCGACGGCGTCAGCGTTGGAGACGGCCTCGGGCCGGGACTCTGCGACAACCTCTGGCCAAGAGTCTGCGACGGCCTCGGATCAAGAGTCTGCGATGGCCTCGGGCCACCACCGTTCTTCGAGCTCCCCATTCCCTGCAAGCGAGAACGAACCCAACCGCTCACACCGCAGCCGCCGGCAAGGACATCGCTCTAAACGACGGTCGCGCGAGCGCGACGGCCGGCCCTCACACCACAGCTCACGGAGACTGTCCCGCTCTCCACCTCCCCCGGTTCGGCGACGGTCAGATACCACCTCATCCGACGGCTCTGCCCCGTCATCCGCTAGCAGCCACTCCAGCCGTTCTAGCTCAAGGAGCGAAAGCCCGCATAGACGGCGCAGCCACCGTCACCGCCGGCATAACCGTCGCGGACGGCAAGGCCGACATCGCGCGGCGATATCGGTTTCGCGGTCCAGCTCGCGGAGCGGTCGTACTTCCAGCAGCAAGAGGCGCAGCGGCCGTGATCCCCGCTGCCACCGCCATCGCTCTGACCGCCCTCAGGGAGGGAACCTACCACCCATCCCACGGAGGCTAAAACGCAGGATCAGACGTGGTGAGTTGTAGAGCTACATTCACTATTGCACGCCAACCTCACGAAGACCAGCGCGCAGACCCGTGGTCACACGCGCAGACGTTCTACCCACGAGTCGGCAGACCCGGCTCGCTCGCCGGCTGCAGTCACTGACCTGCAGAGCTGGACCGAAGCCTGGAGCGTACTCGCTGCTGTACTTACTTCTTTCTACCCGCACCTAGCCCCCCGCCTCTTTTCGTACCAGCACTTCATTACTCTGAAGAGCAGATCTTTTCAGCCTGCGGCATGGCTGCGGTACGACACTGAGTTCCGACTCAAGCTAGCGGCGAACGAGAGCTGGCACTTCGAAGCCGTAGACACGGAACTGTGGGCATCGTGCTTCTCTGCGGACGGCCTAAGATCCACTCTCCCCACACCCACCCCCATGGCCTGTTTCGCTTGTGGGAGCCTAACCCACCTGTATGTCGCTTGCCCTCAGCGACGACGTTCCATCCCCTCTTCAACCGGTCCTAAACCAGACGTGCCTGCCCGACCACCC